AAATACCATACGAAATGCTAAAGAACTGTGGAGAAAAAGAACAAGATAATTTTAGAGAATTGTTCAACAATATTCTCAAAGATGTGAAAACACCGGGAGAATAGAAACACTCAAAAATTTACCTAATCCCAAAGATAGACAACTGGCAAGGTCAAATGGACAAATTGAGACCTATAGCACTAATAGAGACAGGAAGAAGAATTTTTTCCAAGGTAATTACAAAAAAAATGGATGCAGTACTAACGTCAAGTAAAATCTTACAAGAAAATAACTGGGCAGGTACAATAGGAGAAACTACAACAAAACTGAGAATAATCTTACAAAGCATGATAGAGGATGCACAAGTAAATAAGAAAGAAATGTGGATTTTACTTCAGGACACCAATAAAGCGTTTGACTCAGTTGGGAAAAGAGCCTTAGAGATAACACTAGAAAGAATAGGGATTCCATCAAAACTAATAAAGATAATTTTGGAAATGAGAGAAAACAGATCGGCAGATGTAATTACAAAATATGGAATAACAAGAGTACAGAATTAAAGATGGCTTGGATCAAGGAGATTCTATGTCACCATTGCTGTGGAAAATATTTTATAATCCGTTGATTAGCAATATGAACAAAAGAAGATATGGATATAGTATGAGCAGTAAATAGACAAGGAACTATTATACAGGGGAGGTCAAAGAAAAGGAAATTACGCTAGGAAGTATAGTCTACATGGATGATACAACTTGGGTAGCTAAGAACAAAAAGGAAATGGAAAGAATACTACAAGTAGCAGAAGAGTTCTACTATACAAATGATATAGAAGTCAATGCAGAAAAGTTCAAACTAATAGTACTTAACACAGAAAGGAAAGAACCAAAGGTAGACCTAATAGAAAAACAAATTATAGCAAGCAAGGAAGAAAAAGCAGAAAGATTTCTGGGATCATGGATATAAAGCAAACCAGGCAAGGCTATGCAAGAGAGAAAGATAAACCAGATGATAATGCATAATCTTAATACAATAAGAAGGAAAAAGCTATCGGCAGAAATAGTCAAATACCTGATAAATGGAGTAATTCTACCAGCAACCGAATATCTAGTGACAAACACTTACATAAAAGAAAGTACAATAGCAAAATGGCAACAATCGGTAGACAATGTGTACAAAAAGAAAAACAGTTTAGCAAGCAGTTTTCCAAGTAGTGCATTAAGAAGTCATATGCTAAGTGATATCAAGGGTATCAAAGAAAGAATAGCATTAATGAGACTAAGTGGACTTGAAATGATTATAGAGGACGAGGGAATATTGGGCAACATAGGAGAAATAAGACTTTCACAGCTCCAAGAGAAGTCATGGTCAATGGGAAAAATCACGCAAAACAAACAAGAATTGAAAAAAGAGAGAAAGAGATGTATACTAGTGGACATGATATATGAGTGTCAAAATCAAGGGTTTACTATAGAAACCAAAAGATAGGACAAAGTAATGGAAAGAAAAGGAGGGAAGCTTACAATAGAAGAGTTTTTGGACAAACGAACTTACAAAGAGCAGAAGTATAATATAAAAAAATGGAATGTGATATATATAGAGCAACTAATCAAAGACAGCAACTTAGAATTGATGAAATGAGAAAAAATCAATCCAGGATATGGCAACAAAAGGAGAAAGCTCAAATGGTACAATATAATGGAAAAAAGTTGGGACAAAATATAGGAGGAAATAGTGAAAAAAGGAATACAGAACAACCAATGGAAACATATAGCGATGCCCAAGGAAAATGGACAAATAAATATGAAAAGAATACAATGGATTGCATTTGGAAATAGCGAAAGTGTAATCGTAGGGAAAAAGAAAAGGAAGATCAATGAAGAGAAAGCAAGAATCCTATATTATAAAGAACAAGGGGTACATCAGGAACTAAAAGAATATGAAGGCTGTACACTAAACGAATACAGCAAAGGGAAAACTTGCCAGTTTGACAAGAAAATAGCAGAGACATGGTATCCAGTGGTCAAGAAAATTAAGATAGAAGAGAGGAGAAAAACAAAGTATATCAGAACAAGAACACAAGAACCTAGAGAGGGGTTACGATCAAGAGAAATTAAAGAAAACAAAGAGAAAAGAAAGAGAGTGGAAGAAGGGATTGAGAAGAAAATATATACTGATGTGACATGGAACAAAGAAAAGAACAAAGGCACAGGGGTATGGAAGTATTTTGAAGGTGAAAAAGAAATAGAGCAGGGGACATGGGAGAACATGACACAAAGCGCAACACAAGCAGAGCTAGAAACAATAATTGCAAGTATCCAACAAATTGACACGGAAGGGGAGATAAGAATAATCACAGACCTAAAAGTAATGGAACAATATATAAATGGAAATGGAAAAACAAGAAGAAATTTGCAAAGACAAAATATGGAAGGAGCAGTACTGGCCAAGCTAAGGGCAACAATGAGAGGAAAAGAAAAAGTCGAATGGACAGCAGAATGGATAGGTGAAAAAAAGCAAGACCAAATCTTTAAAGAAGTGGATAAGAAAACCAATGAACATTTAAAAAGGGCGAGGGTTACAGAAGAGAAAACAGAGACTAAAAAAGATAGAGGCATAATATGGTAAGAAGGGACACAAAACAAGGGATAAAAGAAGATATGAAAAATCAGCAATAAAATTAAAAACATTATAGCATGGTTAAAATTAGAAAAAAACAAACAAATATAAAGCACCTTAACTAGATGACAAATCGATTGAAAAGCAACATGGGAAAAATATGAGGAGACAATAAAAAATCGGATAGAGAAAGGAAGTAGCAGCAGATGGTTAGAAAAAAAGTTCAGTAATGAGCTGCCGACATTGAAAAAGAAAAAGACAAGGGACTATGAAAGATACGAGAAATACAAGAAATGTATAAGATATGGTGAAAAAAAAGAAGACCAAATACATATATAGGAGTGCAGATTGGTGAAACAACAAATAGCAAGACTGAAACAGAGTATCACAAAAATAATGGAACAATATACCAAAGAAAAACCAACAACGAAAGGGGAAAACAGAAGACAGTATAAGATCAAGCAAGCGATGGAAGAAGAGAAGACAAAGATCAGTTAGGCATGGATAATGCAAGGAATGGTCCCAAAGCGATGGACAGAAATTCTGAAGGAAATAAATAAACAACAAGCAGAGGAAACGATAAAGAAGATAAATAATACAATAGAGCAAGAGGTGGAAAAAATCTGGAAAAAAAGGAATCTAGCAGTAAGAGAGTGGAAAAAGACAAATGGAATAGAAAAGAAAAGAAAAAGGATAAAGAAAGTAAAGAACATGAATAGAATAGAGGAAAGGGGGAAAATAGGTAATAGTATACAGAAGAGAATACTCACAACAGTAAAAGATGGAAATTATAAACAAATAACAGAATGGTTAAATAGCAAACAGAAAGGAGAAAATAGAATCAAACATTTAGAGCTAAGGTAGGCTTGGTTAGCAAGCAAGGTGACAGGCTACATCTGGATAGTCTATAGTACCTGTGGATGGATTCTAGTTAATATAAAATAATGTAGCTTAAACTTTACATATGTAATCCATATATAAAATTTCTTAACTATATTAATAAATTAGAGTAAAGTCTCACTTTAACTGGAAAAAAAAAAACAAGATAAAGAAAATTATTTTTTAAAACAAATATATTATTATATATTGAAATGTTTAAAGAATAAGTAAAGTATTTGAAATTTTTTTAAATTGATATATGTTTTTTTTTGTTTATTATATTAATTTAATTTTAAGAAAAAAAGTTAGTATACTTTACTGAAAATATTTATTTTTTAATAATTAATAGTACTATAATAGTAATATAAATTTTTTAAAAAATAGTAGTATAGTAATAATAATTTAAATATAATTCTATTACTATATTGTAATGTAATAGTAATAATATAAAAACAAAGCAGTTACAATTATAATAACTATTCTACAGTAATATAATAATATAATAGTAATATAAAAGTTATTTGAATAGTAGTAAACCAGTTATAATATAATTTTTATTTATATTTAACAATATAAAAATGATTTAGTAACAATATAGTAACAATATAATAACAATGAAATAAAAAAAACAATGTTTTTCATATGTTTAATATAATAAATTTAATATTAACTTATTTATTAATACTATAAATAGTTAATACTGAAAAAAAATTTTAAATAATATTAATATATTTTTTTTCCATAATTAAACAAGTATTTATTGTATTTATTTAATCCTTGGAGTTGAAAACATACTAGTACAGGACTTTTATATATAAACTAAGCTAATACAGTAGTAATTTAGTAGCAATAAAATATAATAATTTAATAGTTAACACTATTGTAACTGCTTTGTTACTATTTTTTGACTATTAAGCAACAATTAAATGGCAATTAAGTAGTAATGTTTATGAAAATTGAGTAGTTTCAGCAATATAACTAAGATTATTGTTAAAAACCTTTTGAATAATTTGTTTTTTGACTATATAATTCAGATTATTGTTATTTCAGTAGTTAAAGAAATCTTTTAAATAATTATTGCTTTTTTTTCTTGATCTTAAGACTGTAACAATTGTATAGAATTATTGAGAGCTTCTGAAAATTTTTGAAGTATTAAATTCAATATAGAAAACTGAAATATATTTGTTCTGAATTTGAGATGATATTCCTTGCACTGGTATTATCCAATACTTGAGAAGATTGGTAAGTGAAAATATAGAAACTTTGTTGGCCGGGATAAAGATTAGAATAGTGTGTGAGGTTGCTTCCATGTAAACCACTGCAAACAGCAGTTTGTTAAGATCAATAAGAACCATATCTAGGAGAGCAAGGAATGGATCTAAGGGTTTTGCCTTGAAGGAGAGGCCCCCAAGGTCGTTTGTTTTGTTTTCCTTAAGTTTTCTGTTGACTAAAAAAGGATTTTTTTTTGAAATGTGATGTGTTTGGGAAAAAAAGATACTGTATATTAGCTGAATCATATTAAAATTATGGTATTATTGAGGTCTTCTCGTGGCGACACGGCGTTTCGGACCTTGCATAACATTCGGCCAGGGGTAAAGGTAAGTATCACGGGGTTGGGTAAGGCAGAAAGGGCGTGGATTTGGGGAAATTATTCAAAAGGTAAGTATTTATAATTCTTTATTGGTTGTGCGATCATTTATATACTCATGAATCGCGATCGTGATGGTAAGTTGTCATTTCGAACAACTTTATATTAATTGGATAGACGGGGTGGCTATTCCAAGCCACTGACGTCGACCGTTTCTCCCCAATGGTATTCTTGTGTTCGTGTAACTGTATGCAATGTACATGTATATAATATTTTAATGAAAACTTAAGTTTAAAGAGTTCGAATATGTCGGTTTTTGGCTATTGCTTAGAATGTAATAAAGAATGTTCAGGAACCAAAAACTGGTGCATGTCATGCAATGGAATTCACTTTCAACAAGATTTTGATAAATGGACAAGTGGAGATAAAAAAATTGACGAATTTATACAAAAGTCTCAGC